TAATCGTAAATAAGTATCACAAACGAAATGCAAGCTGATCGGCTCGCGGTGGACTCAACTATCGTGTTGTCGGGAGAATGGCGAGGAGATGAGATCGCGCGAATTTAAACTCGCTTAGACAATTTCTTTAAACACTAGCTCAAATTTTTAGACTGTTCGGCAACCAGCGCATTGAACATCAAATGCGTATTTAATTTAAAGATGTGAAAATAGTGGAGGGCAATTAGGGTAGCGGTTTAGTCGAGTTGCCCGGCCAAACTTTCTCCTTGCCTTTAAAATGGGCTATAAGCAAATTATTGACGCCGACTTCTGCTTGAGCTTTCAACATTATCGTTCTACCTCGATAATGTAGTTACTAATTTGGGAATAGACTTGATTATGTGGGTTAGGGCTAGTATGGAAAGACAGTGTGCGAAACTAAAATACCTTTTCATACTAGCCCTAACATACAGAATCAAGTATATTCAAAGTTGTCCCATCATTGCTTATTGCACCAGCTTACGCGTAGCCATAGACGGTGCAGAAATGGTAGGCGATTCATGGCTTCTGCTGGTTGTCAAAGAAACACTTCGTAGTCCTGCACAGCCTCAGCTTACGGGATCAAGATTGACCTTGTGCGTGCTGTATGAAGTAACGATAACTTTTGTTTTGAATACTAAGTCGAATTTGTTCGAGCGCTGATGTGACGAACTGAAAAAAGAGACAAAAGATTTTTTGGCAGTATGACTCACGCAAATTCTCTGAATGCGAGAAAAGTGCTGAATCGTTCGTAAATGTTTACTGTTTTATGTTCGCTCAAAACACATAGTGCCAAAAGTGAAAAATGGTTTTTATAGGGAAGAGCTCCTTGGGATTACAGTGCAGGTCCTTGGAGTTCGATATAACCAACCACATCAGGTCCACCTATGTCAATGTGAACTAAGGGCCACATTGACAAGCCATTGGCCAAGAGTCACTTCTCAAGCTCTATCTGTTGCGGATTGGGTTCCCAGCTTCTTAAGCGTGTGCTAAGGCACTCCTGCATCGGCGGTAGGAGTCGGAAGATTCTCTCCGTGATAAGTCCAATATACGGTGGTGGCGATACACGTGAGAATGAAAGGGGCTTGTCACACTACAACGCCATGCCTACTCAGAAACCCTTGCTATCAGCCTACTTAATAATTGTTACGACATTTCCGGGTTGATGCTGCCCTGGCCATCGACAGCTGGGGCTTGTCCTCATAATCCAGGGACTATTCAGAACCGTGCCTGCTTTCATATCAATTGATCATTCCAGCCAAGACCATAAGACAATTACACTATGTTTGTAGCGGCTAGACTCTCACAAAACTAGTTTGTTGTAATTGTTATTGTTTATTATTTTGATTTGTTTTGCTAACTTATGTTGTTCAATGTATTTAGGAATTTTATGTTTTTATTCTAGCTAGTTTGAATTCCTGGTCTCATTTTCCTAGGCTCGATGACTCATACTATTTCATACCATTCGGTGTCATGAGAATGACAGGCACTGTCTATCCAAAATCTCGACTTTCATGTTTTTGTCGCTATCAGGCCGAAGGCCCTGACTTTGCATAAGGAGAATCGCGAGACCTCCGAAACTCCACGTTTTGGAGAACCCGGGAGACAGGCGATAGGGCTGCGACGCTGTTATACGCCGGGAT